TTATTAAAATTAAAAAAAATTATAATTTTTGACAAAAAAATTCGTTCAGGGTAATTTCCCACGGATATATCCGTGGGTAAATCCGTGGGTAAATTACCCACGGATAAATCCGTGGGAAAATCTGTCGGAAAGTTACCCATGAATAAAAATCCGTCGGTAAATATTTCAGACGAGCAATTTACCGACGGATTAGTGTCCGTCGGTAATTCGTGGGAAATGCACTATTACCCACGAATTTTTGGCATTTCCCACGAATTTTGGTCGTCTGTAATAGTGAATTTTCTTGTAGTACACTTTGTTCTTGCCCAATGCCAAAAGGTTAAGGACCTTTCGATGGCTCCCATGTTCAACACAGAGAGGACAAAGCCTTTTTGCCCTTGTCATGTTGTGCACCTTAAACTTGAGTTCAACATGAATGTGAATTCTACACTTCACAAATCATGATTAAGGGTTTCACATGCCCTCTAAACCATCTTTAACACTTATTATTCTAATTCATTAAGTAGAAACCTTTTAATCCACTCACGACATATTTATAACTCAATAATTAACGTTTAAACATTCAAATCACACAAAATTCCTAATTATCATGCAACTCCAATCCTTAAATATTCAAATGCATAACATAACACAATCCAACATCATAAATCATGAGATTCATCCTCATTCATAAAAGAAAAAAATGTAACAACAAAGACATGCAATTATAAATCCTAAGGGGAATTAGAGATCATCTCACTACCCATACCCATCATACATGTCTATAAGGTGAGGCAAACCTATTCACGTTCTTACTTTAGATGATGATCTCCAAGGTAATATGTACGATCTCTGCAATCCAAAAATACTCTACACACTCCTCAAGATTCTCCTCTACATGTTCTTCTAGGGTTTTTAGAAATAACTTTATGATAGATAATATAACTTTATACACTAGATAGACAAATATATGTTAATTGATATAATTGTTTTTAATCAATTATATTAATTTTAACAATAATTATTTTGTTTCATGCTAATCATTTTTAATTATATATTAATTGTTATATAAATTATTTTATTTTCTTATATTAATTATAACATCATTAATTATTTCATTTGATACATAATTTTAACAATTCTCCTTTCCTTTCTTTTAATTGCATCATTCCCTACCTTGAACATAGAGTCACGATCTGATGTATCACTTTATTTTTAAGGCTCAATATCCAATAAGAAGGAGTTATACCTTCATTTTAAACAAAAACAAAAAATCATTTTTTTTAATTATGTTAAATTTATTGGTATAATTTTAATTGCATTAATTTTATTAAGAAGGTTTTCTCATTTTTTATGTTAGGTTTCGAAGAAATTTTAATTTATTAGTAGATAAATCAGCTTATATACAAAAATAATTTAAACTATAAATAATTGTTGATTCATGCTTTGAATTTTTTTCCTCTTTTCTAAGAAATTTTCCTGGTTTCTTCCTTTTCTTCTTCTTATTATCGTTGATTTCTAAAAATTTAAAACTATAAAAACTTTTATTAAATGGATCAAATTTACAAACTTTTACAAAATTTAAAAATTATTTTATCAAGAAATTTTAACTTAATAGTTAGATTATTGAAACTCAATACAGACCATAAATTATTAGATGAAATAATTTTATCAAAAGTTGACTTAGAGAAAGTAAATTCATCCTCATAAAAAAAACCTTAAATTAAAATTTAATCATATTTATAAAACTTAATAAAATATTAAACCCTAAAAATGTCATTTACTCACCAGCAGTGCTAAGATAAATTTTGGAGTGATTAATCAAAGTAGAACACTTTTACAAACCTAAGTAACTAGATCTACGTACTATCACTTGATGCTTTGGACTTTATTTTCTACAAATTAATTAAGCAATTACCCAATTTCTGAAGATAATTAACAAACAAAGTGAAGACAAATTTATGAGTAGCAGCAACAAAAGTTCACTGGTTCTGGTTGTGCTGAAATCTTGGAAGCCCAACCTTATATCCTACGGTCTTGATGTCTTGTTGCACTTGTGCTCTGAAGTCATTGTATGTGAAAGGCTTGTACTTGGAGCTCTCGATCACAACATCTTCATCGGGGAAAACAAAGTAGCATATTGAAATCCTTTCTTTGTGATTGTTTATGCTTACTCTGTGTGAGACACTCTTGTATCTGTCGTCGCTAATTGCCTAAACCATAACAGCCATTGCCAAGAGTAATGTCAAAATACAATTTCTTTAAATATGTTTTTGGTTTTGTAACTTTTTTCTTAAAATAATCCTCATAAAAATCAGTTTTTTTTTTGGCAAGTGCTATTTTATTTTAGTTTCTTAATAGGGTTGTTTTTTATTTTTTATTTTTATTTTTGTTCATTGTAATATAGAGAGAAAAAAAATCTAATTTTTCCGTTTTATTCTTCTTCTTGATATTTAGTTCATAAGTTCCTTGGGAAAGATTGATAGCAATTAAGGCAAATTATTTATATATTTTTTTTTGGCAAAAAACTTATTTTTCATGAAAGACAATTTTATTCAAATCAGTTAACTATGGATATATAACAGAATTCTTCTATTAAATATTTAATACAATTGCATATCTAAATAACATTTGCTTTTGGTCCATATAACTTTTTCCCTATATTTTCATTCTTTAAAATTTTATTTTTTTCTAAAATAAATAAATTTTAGTTTTAATCTCTATAAAATATTTTTTTCTTCTCACTTTTATCTCTCTAAAACTTAAAATCATTGTTTTTTTATCCCTAATAGTTATTTTAAAGTAAATAAAATATCTAAAATTTATTAGAAATATCTTGTATTAACCACAAAAATAGTACTACAAGTACAAGTAATTAATATTACTTTACATAATCACTTAACTTTTGGTTAAACATATAAATGATTAGTGAGTGTCACATTACTAGTATTTTAGGAAAGAAGACAAAAGAAATTTGTTTATAAGGAATAAAAACAAAACTCATTCATTTATTAGAGACTAAAAATATATTTATATATAAACATAGAAAAAGGAGTAGAATTTGGACCTGCATCATGTCTCCAAGGTTGACAATCAATGTGTTGGAAATGGGTTTAACAGTTAGCCATTGATCATCTTTGAGCATCTGAAGTCCACTGACTTCATGATCTTGGTTCAATATAGACATCACTGAGCTATCTGTATGCGCATCCATGCCCCAACCAACATTGGTATCAGAGCAATGTGGGTACCGATACACACGCACCATCCCAGTGTTTTCTGCTAAGTATGACTTTGAGGGTTTTAGTTCCAACTCAAGGTTCTTCACCATAGCTTTGAATAAAGTTGTGGCAATTCTCGACAAATGGGTCTTATAGTCCATTAGCAGTAGTCTTGCAAAGCAATAAACAAACATGCACATATTGTGTTAATTACATCTAACCACAAATTAAAGATTAATGATAGTCATGCATTCCAATTTTCCCAATTTATTGGGGTATATGGGTGGAAAAATGGAAAAAAAAAAAAAAGTAAGAGAAATTTATAGATGTAATACATGATGTGTTGAGAAATTTATAGATGTAATACATGATGTGTTGAGAAATGAGTTAGCATAAATATTTAGATATGTTTAGATAAATTTATCGAAAAATACTTTTGGAAAAAAGAATAAAAAAATTAAATAAGTTTCTTCCAACACTAAAACTAATTAGCTTAAATATAAATCAATTTAATCTTATAAAAAAATTAATTTAAGTATTTATGAAAAAATTTATATGAATATAATATTATTCCAAATTAAAATAATGCATGGTTTCAAATAGAAATAGTTTGCTTCCATTATTCCAAGACTTGTAACTTTTTGTATGGCTTCACTACAACAAAAATTAGTATTACCGATAATTATTTAATGACAATAAATTAATTGTCTCTATTTTATTATTTAATAAAAATATTAATGACTATTATATAATGGTCATTAAAAATATATTTATATTACATCAAAATTTACTATTAGCGACAATTATTTGTTAGAAAAAACTTAAATTTCACATCGACTAGAAATAAAATAATTAAAGAGTATATAAATGAATGATAATTCTCATCTAACAAGTATGTTTTATAAGGTTGATTTAGGCATATAACTTACTATTCTAAGTTGGTATTTAAGAGATAAGATAATTAAAAAAATTAAAGAATATATACTTAGAAGATAACCTTCATCTTCTAAGTCTCACATCAATTAGAAATAAGGTAACTAAAGAGTATTTGTACTCATCTTACAAATCCTACATCGACTAGAAATAAGATAATTAAAGAGTATTATGAATCTTTCTTAATCTTTTAGGGGCAATTTTAAATGCCAATAACAAATGACACAAAAAGTTATACACTTTTTTCGACCATTATAAGGGTCTTTACCAGCATATAAAATAATTGTCGGTAAATGTTTTAGTGACACTGTATACAATGGCTAATGTGTGAAATGCCAGTAAAAGATTTTGTAACAATTTTTATTGTCACTAAAAGTTATATTAAATGTCACTAAATGTCTATTTTATTGTAGTGCTTTATTAGTTGAATTTGAAGTAAAACAAAACGTAGTCTTTATATTGTTGTCATTAAGCTTTTAAGTCAAACAATGATAGTATTTTGTAAGATGTTAGGTTCATGAAACATTAGATTCAGTCATCTTTACTGGGGAAGTGATTTTTGGAGGAAAGTCTATGATATTGTAAACGGTCTCCTTTCAACAAAATCAACCAAACAGTTTCTAGTTACGATATCATGTCAGTTGCTGATTTTATTCCCATAACAGTTTAATGAATGAGTTGATGAATAATCTATTTTCAAGAACTTTTGGAGAATGCATTGGCCCACCTAAGTTTCAGATTCACTCTTGGTTGATGTTCCATGACACAGAGAACAACAAAGTCAACAAAAAAATACGGTGGTTTCGAAAAAATAATGGAAAAGCACCAAACGAGTTTTTCAAATAAAATTAGATAATGATATACGTTAACTGTGAATGTGATGGATAATAACTGCACGTTATTTAGTAGATATTCTGAAAATAATTATATTCATCAAATAATGTGAGAATAAAAAGTTCAAGAGGCTTAATTAGTACTATAAGGAGGAATGAGAATTTACACCGCTGTAGATCACTTAACCGTATCTCATGCACGTGAGCTTGGGCCTACTATTTATTTGATTTTTTGGTACAAGAGGAGAAAAAACAAATACTATTATTTATTTGTTTGAAAACTCTTGAAACATTAAAATATGAAGACTTAAAAAAATACAACTAAACAAACAATACATGACTTGTAATAAAAAAAATAAAAATAAAAACTAAGCACCAGGACTAAAGCCTTTGGAAATATTCTAATCATAATAGGACACAAACATGATGAGAAATATTGATAAGTTTGTAGCACATACGGTGGTATATAACACATTAATTAATTTTAATAGTCGGATATAAAAAGTATGCAAGGAAGAAGTTGAAAAAAAAAAACAATTTCTTTTATTGATTAACAAATTATAAAATTATACTTTTACATTAAAAAAATTAATGTTATATATAATCTTTTAAAAAAAAAGTGAGAAAGATCAAAGTCATTCTCATTGCTTAAATTTGTCTTTAGTATAGCTAGGACTTAAAATTAAATTCAACTTCCTTTATATTTTATATCCTTTCAAACATACTTGCTCGGGAGATAAAATAGACAAATTGTAATTTTATCAAAAATTTTAAGGGGTTAGTGATTGACTTTTAACTTATATGGAGTTATACCTTATCCTAATTTAATGAAGAAAAAAAAACATGGCCTGTTCCTAATTTTAGCGAAGTTAATATTAATTTTAGAATTTTTTAATATTCAAATTAATAGTATAATTAATGAATAATTTTGTAGTTTATATTTTCTTTTGATAAGGAGGTAGTTAATCCTTATAAAAATAAAATAGTACTTTTAATCACAACTTCATACTCAAAATAATAACTCAATCTCGATCTTTAATCAGGAATGACAAGTTAAATGAATTTTATGTTTTTAAGTTTATATATTTGCAAGGAGGTCTTCTATATTAGTCCAATCACCACGTTTTAAAAATTGTTTTTCCACTTAAGAATATGACAAACTTCCTATGACATTCCATCCTTGTGGTCCTCAAGTAATCAATTTAGATCGTGCTAAGAAACATGTTAAAATGATTCAACTTCAACCTTATATATCCTATCTTATTAAAAAAATCTCCTAGGAAGGGGAGTCAAGCACTACCACCGTCTAGATCTACCCTGTATATGCACAAATGAGATTGCCAATAGTTTTCATATACAATCAATAGTCATGTGTTTGGAAGAAATAAAAGTAGCAAAAGAAGAAAATAAAGATAAAAAAAAAAACACGGGTAACAATATACTTTTCTTTGTATGATTATAGAGAAAGTGAAAGAAAAATCAAGAAAAAAAATTAAACTTAAAAGAAAAAATCTTCCACTTTTTTCAATTTCAGTTTTAACTTTCTTCAAGCTTCTCACTTTCCTTCTTCTCAGTTATATATGTTAGTTCATGTTTTTGAATTTTGATGATGATCCCTATCTAATTGAGGAAATTATACGTTAAACAATCCATCAAATCTGATCATCTTTCTCTACGTGGAATAACATAATCCCATTGGTCGAAGCACCCGTTCTTGTAGTGCCATCGAATGTCATAATCTCAAAAAGGTGACGGGTACCCCACATTCACAACCAAAACCATAAGGGACCCATGATCCCAATTTTCAACAGAGTATAGTATTATACTCTAGTAATTTTATATATAAAAAAAACTTTAAATATAAAAATAATGAAAAAATCAATTCAACAAACACAAAAAACATTTAATATTCCTTTACTTAATTAATATTTTTTTTCGACATGCATGCACACAACACACAAACTTCAAAAAGTAAAAAATAAAAAATAGACGGGGTCATGAAAAATTATTAGCGGATTCTTAAACATCTAACTTTTAATGTAATTAAATATTTATAATTTTTTAATTAAAAATTTTAAATACTTATCAATAATGAATGATTGAGTGTGTGTTTAAAAATATATATTAATACAATTGATTTAGAATTAAAGGTGAATTTGGATTTATCAATAATAAATGATTCAATGTGTGTTTGGATATATAAAAAATCAAGGCGAATTTACATAATTGATTTTAAGTAAATATTAATCAAATTTAACGTGATTTTTATTTGGATAATAAATGATAAATTGATTTTAAGTATATAGTTATAAATTTAAGCAAAAGAAATTTTTATGATTTAGCACACAACAAAATTGATTCCGAAATCAAATATATCAATAGACTATGAATATTCGGTGGTCTTAAAATATCTAATAACTTTTTTTTAAAAGAAATGATATGAAAGAAACAGAAAAAACAATAAAGGAGAGGGAAACAAAAGGCATAGAAAAATCAGGAAGGGGACAAAGTGACAATAATGCAAGTTGGCAAAATTTGTTCTTACCTGATGGATTGAAGCGTGGGAAGTTGAGGATTGAAGTGCGAGAGTTGACTCAAGGGTACATCAAACCCTTCAACCCAATTGATGTTTAGGGGGCCTCTCATTAGGGCTGTCCCAGATGGCGTTAGGGCAGGGGTGCCCCAAAAGTATGAGACAGGTGTGCCACTGCATGCACCTTCTTTGCTCTCAAAGGACAAGGAAAAGAGCTCCTTAGCCACCTCTTGAAGCTCCTTCAAAAGGGTCAACGGAACCCCGTGGTTGACCAAACGAAATAGCCCCCACTCCTTGCAAGCTTCCTCCAACTTGGTCTCCCCATGGTTTAACTCTAAGCCCTCAAGATCTATGACGGGTATGGGATCCGGGTCCAACTCTTCAACCCGGTTGGGGCTTGGTGGCCGGTGGTGGTCTAGGTGGCGGAGGACGGGAGGGTACGACTCTATGTTGTTCATGTTGTTGGGGGTATATATCATGTGAATATGTGTGATGATGTTCTCCAATAAGGTTCAGAAATACTGAGAATAGGTTATGAATAAATGCACGTTTTGCTCAGTCTGGAAGAGAGTGGAGCGATGATGCTCTCAAACAATATTATATGAAACTATGATAGAGAAATGATAGTGACTCCTTATTTTAATCCAAGTTTTATTATATAGTGTTTAACTTTTGTGTATTATTATAACACAAAATATTCCATATATGTAAAGAACTTTTGCATTATTATTAATATTTTTACATTATTATTCAACCATGCTATGTTATATGTTTAATAATTTTGTTAATTTTTATAATAATTACTTTAAAATATTTTTTATTTATTGTTGTGATAATAATTTTAAGGTTAAAATATTTTTAAAATTTTAATTTTATTTGTTTTACTTTTTAGTCTCTATAAATTAAAATAGAAAATTTTAATTAATTAATTAATTTATTTATTTATTTTATATTTTAAACTAGATCTTGTTAATTAATCTCTATATTTGTTATTTTTAATCTTTGTAATCCCTTTTGTATATTCTTTTGTAATATTGTTTCTTTTGAGTTGACTTAATATATAGAAGTATTAATTGTATCTTCATGTGTGATGTTATCCATTGTTAATTAAAACAATCTTTTTACTTTTTTTATACAAAATTCAAGACTTTTACAATGTTAATACAAAAATATATAATGTTACAAAAAAATAATGATAAAGATTAAAAAATTAAAATACTGCAAGTATAGAATTAAAAAGAACTTCTATAATTAGAAAGTATATTTTTAAATTATAGATACTAAAATGTAAAATAAATAAAATTATATATACTAAAATAATATTTTAATCTTACTTTAATAATAAAAGAAGAAAGTTGCATGACTAAAGCTTGTATTAAAATAAAATGATTAAGTTATGTTAGTATTGTTGGTTCATACATTCAATAAAATGATAAACATTATTTTTAATAAGTAAAATGATATATAAAAGATGTAACTCTGTATCATCATATAAGAAGAAAATGACATGTTAAGAATTTTACATTATTATCTATTTAGTGAATAACTAAAAGTAATATCTAATTTAATTTAAGGCTTTATTTACAAGTGAATAAACTCTCTAAATGAATACTATCTTTGACAATAAAAAATCTCTTTAAATAAACATAACTATTAAAATAAAATTTTAATGATTACACAATAACAAAATCTCGATGACACAAACTCAACTTGTATCTCAACCCACATTACATATAATGAATATTAATTAGACGATGAGAAATGTTAGAAGAAATTTGATTAAAAAATGGATAGATAATAAGTGAGAAAATATACTGAGTGTGATTCTGCACGATTCTGCAATGGTTGGTTAGGTGACCAAAAATACATGCAAGTCGACAAGTGTCAATGCGACCCCTCTTTGCAAAGGTCCAAACAAGAGGGGGGTTGTCCCATGTTGGTCGTGGGGCCCACTGTACGCACCCCCCTTCCCTTCACCTCCTTCCTCTTCCCAATTCCAAAGGGATGGTAAACAAATGACCATATCAGATGCATAATATGCATCACCACCGACCCATGTGTCAAGGATTAAGTATTCTGCATGGACTTGTGTCAAAAAACATTACTACCAAACATCTAACATATCTACTTGCTTCTGGGGTCCATCAACCCTTCCCTTCTCTGCTATTCAAAAACTCAAAAGGATATCTATCATCAACAAATTAATCAACAAATCAGATGCTATATATCATATCATTGCCGCCCCATGTGTTTGGTTATATATGCCTTCTTGGTGTGTGTTTCTACATGTTTCATAATTTTCATTATTAATTATGAATCGTCTTCTGTTTATACTTTTTGTATATTGTGTAATCATAAATATTAATCATATGATAATCGTGATAATAGATATATAACATGTACAACATTTAATTAGTTTAAGCTTGTGGATTTTGTGAAAAGAAAAGTTACTGCGGAAAAATGGATTCTTGAAGAATTTTACACTGCAAGTGAGTTCACGTTTGGGGACCCAAGTTACAGTTACAGCCAAAAAATGCGTCGCAGTGTACTGCTGCATGACGTTATTTTGTTTGTCTGTCTGTCTAATCCATCACTTTTCTGCTTTTGTTTTTTATTTCGGTAAAAAACGCCAATGCTTTCTTTACTTTTTTTAAATTTTATTATTTTCTATGTCAGAAAGAAATCGATGTTTTGAAATTGGGAAACTTGAGGAAACTAGGAAAGTGGGTGCATTCTTCAAGTGTTTTTACTATTATCATATACTTAGGAGTGTTAGTAATGTGATTTGGTTTAATTTTTATCTTAAAAATTATTTAAATTCAATAAAAAAAATTAAGTGTGATTGAATTTGTCTTTGTTCACTACTAGAAAAATGTCATTTTCTTGCGAATTTTTCTGAAAAAAATATTCGCAAAATTTTTTACGAATTTTCCTGTAAAAAAATATTTACAAATTTTTTGTGTGAATTTATTTGCGAAAAATAATTTACAGATATTTCTTACAAATTTTGCTACAATTTTAATAATCATAGAAATTTTTTTCCATGGTAAAAATTTACAGAAAATATTGTAAGAATTTTATTTTGTTTCTTGCAGATTTTCTTGCAAAAATAAATTTGCAAGTAATGTTTACTAAATTGGTAGAAAAATTTTGCAGGTAACTTTTCCTGCGGATTAAAAAAAACTTCAAGTCTCACATCGATTGAAAATAAAGCAATTAAAGAGTATATAAGTTGGGGCAACACTTACCTTACAAGTTGATTTGTATGGTTGAGTATTAAGTTTATAATCTACAATCTTAGAATTTAAAAGATTATGTATCACATGTTGGAGGCATGAAAACAAATGCTTCGGATGAATTCATTGTTAGCATTTGAAAGTTGAAAAATTATTGATAGAATTTATAGTAATTTTTTTTAATTTTTTTTTAAAAAAATATTTTTGCAAGAAACTTTCCTACGAATTTTTTCCGCAAGAAATTCTGCAGGAAAATTTCCTGCAAATTTTAAAATTCACAAAAATATATTATCCACAAAGGTATTATCTGCAGATAAAATTTTGCAGAAAAATTTGCAGGAACAACGTTTCCTGCGAATTTTAGTAGTGGCTGAAATAAATTATAAAATTCAAGTCAAATTAATCTACTGTGATTTGATTTAGTTTGATTTTTGTGATATTTTAAATTTATTATTTAAAATCAATTAAAAATATGTAATCTTATATTGTTTTTTTAAGATTGTACATCAAAAATAAAATTAAAAGTATACAAATATTAAAATATTTTAATCACTTAATGTATTTAACACCAAATTTTATTATATTATTTTAGTAAAAGTATTTCTTTAATACAATTTCAGTTATCATATTAAACATTGTATATATATATATATATATATATATATATATAT